TTAAGAAACTGTTCATATGATAGTTCTGCAATAACAAACTAATAAAAATCTAATTGGCCAAGGAAGTAGCCTTAATAACAAAAAAAAAATACTGAGATTATAATAATAAAAAGGATCATAAGAATTATAATAATCACTAAAATAATAATAGTTATCATAGTTATTAGAATAATTATAGTTATAGATATAGAGAATAAATATATTTATAGAAAAGTTTTATTATAAATAAAGGCTAAAATAGCTCTAGTTGAAGGATAAGTTCCCTTTTCACTTTAATAAAATAATTACTTAACTCCTTATATATATTAATTTTTTATCAATAAATAATAAATTTGTTAAACTACTAGTTTGTTACTAAGTAGCATAATAATAAACTTTGTATCTCTCTCTCTAAACCCTATTTATGTGATCTCTTGTTAAATTCATATCTGTCTAGTTGTTAATCTAATATATTTGATACAACTGTAGTTAATTTGTCTAGCTTGCCTTAAATAGTATGGTATAGCTAAAGTTAAAGAAAGACTAGAAAGTACTCAGATAATAAAAAGACCTATTTATAGAACTAACTAACTCGCCAAACCTAATACACCTCTTTTCAGTAAAGCTTACTATAGGTTATACAAAGAATTTGGATTATCAAGTGACTAACTTGCTACTAGTCCCAGTTTCATTTAGTGATGATTATGAGATCAAATAATTCAAATATTGTTACTTCTCTTCTCTGATGTGAAAAAGATAAGAGTAAATATTAATAACAAAAGACAAAGAAAATATAGAAAAGAACTCAGTTTGTAAAGAATAAAAGATTAGAAAAAAGAAGATATAAAAAGAAGATTTATAATAAAAGTAATTAAATAGAAAGAAAAATTCAAAAAAAAGATAAACAATGTAGATATTATACTTATCTGAAACAAGAAACTTATGACTACTGAGATGAATAAAGAACAATTGAAAGAACTTCTTGAAGATCTAACCAATTCTTTTGCTTAAGTAGCAACTATAATCATAAATATAAAGAAGGACTCAGAAGAAAGAAGAAAATTAATGTATGTAAAAATTAATTTATTTTATAGCTATAATAATGAGAATCTAATAAAGTGGTTAGAAATATTTGAAAATGCTACTATCACTAATAACTGATCTAAAAAAAAAATATTGAAGATAGCATCTAATATCTTAAAGACTTAGCTATAAACTGGTACAAAAAAAACAAGAAAGATTTAGAAGAATAAAAGAACAAAAAAAACAAACCAAAAAGCTTCTACTATGTCTTTATCAAATTCTTTGCTACTTTAAAAAAGTATTACATATAGCAGAAAGAACTAAATAGTCTTTAACTAAAAAAGAATAAAAAAGTTGATGTTTATACTACCAAATTTAAAAGACTATTAGGAAAAGTAGACCTTGAAGACAGCTTATCTAATAAATTCATAATTAGGATATTTCTAAGTGAGTTAAAAGAAAAGACTGTAATCTTTGTTGTAGTATCAGAACTCAAAAATCTAGAAGAAGCTATTATTAGTGCTAGAAGGGTAGAAGTAAAGGAGTATTATAGTAGACAAATCTTTGAGAAAACTTAGCAAAAGAAACTCAAAGAAGAATTAGATACTTTGTTGTGAAAGATCAAACAGATAGTCTTAAACATTATCACTATAAATTCAAGCTTGATAAAAGAACTCTATAACTACAAAAGATATCATAATAACTTTTAAGAAGATAACAATTAAAAAAATATCGAAAAATAAATACAACTCTTTCTGTAGATCATTTGGACCGATTTTTAAGCTAAAGCAAAAATGTATTTTTTAAAGAAACTGTATTAAGAAACAATACAAAAGGCAATAAGAAAAAGGAAAGAGCATACAAAGTTACACTTAGTAGAAA